GAAGCTCTCCTAATAATATGGACATCTAGAATTTTATAGCTATTAACGGGATTGCTACCATGTACCTTGTTTATTATGATTTTTTGATATTTCGGCACTGTTGCAAGCGCCATTGCATGATCACAGAGTAAGAAACTATGTTACTCCGTTATCATGAAAGTTGAAAACAATATATCTAGAATTTTAAATATTTGTTTCTTAAGTTTTCATCACAAAACAAAATGCGTATATTTTTTTTTGAAGTTTCGCATCCTATTAAGGCTGCTTGATAATTGGTTGATGACGCAGCCTGAAAACGTCAAAAAAAAGATGCAATTTGAACATTTTTAAGCTTGCCACGGCAACGGCTAACTAGAGCCGAGGTCCGAGTCTCAGAGACACCCTCTATTTGAGCTGACCCCCTCAGGTTCCAGAGGTCTAGAAGCTCCAGACGGAGAGGAGACTCCCCCCGTGGGGAGATGCCATCCGCCTGGAATACCTCTAGAGGCACTCGCCAATTCTATGCTTGAGTTCGGCTTAAGATCTCGCCCTCCCCAAACCCGGTGACGCTGTAAAGTTCATCTGCGACCAACAGCATATACACTCAAAAAAAAAATGTTTACGCGTTTTTAATTTATCTAGAATTTGAATTAAGAAAGTAATGATCACATTTTATTCTATTGTATAAAATACATTGAAATTTTATCCTATTGAATTTTGATTGTCATTTTATTCTATAATTGGCATTATTAATCGACTATCTTATTTTGTTAGCTTTTCAATAATTTAAATTGACATAAATTAAGACTAAACTGACAGTTGTGATTTTGCTGACGATAATTTAATGTAATTCGCTTTTTGTAGTATTTTAAGAATTTATTATTGGCATGTGAAATTGATGGCTTAATGATTATTAATAATATTAATGTAATTAATGCAATGTTAAATATTTGCATGCTATTGTAAATGGCAGAATGGGCCAAACTTTATATTTGTAACATCTCCAGTGTACCCCTATTCTAATGCAAATAAATAAATCCTAAAATTCTAATTCTAATTCTGATGTTATGTCAGGGTTCCCATTAAAACTTCTTCAATCTAATTCAATGTGAGATAGTCTGCAGTATAGACCAGGGTCGATAATTTTAAAAATGGTGAAAAGTGAAAAAAAATTATATGAAATGAAATGAAATGAAATGAAATGAAATGAAATGAAATGAAATGAAATGAAATGAAATGAAATGAAATGAAATGAAATGTCATTTATTCAGTCTAGGCTGTTACAAGCACTTGTGAAGGTCAAGAAGCTACGCCATCGGTTCGCAAAACTACGGCGGGAGACCTTGTACTGAGAAGAACCGGCAAGAAACTCAGCAAGGGCTGTTTTTTTCTCCCTGTATTGTTATATACAGTGTCGTCAATTTGAAAAATTACTTCAGAAATACGTCTGAAGTCACTTTCCATTACATCATCTAGAATATAAATAGTTACAATTAATTTTATAGTTAACATTTTAAGTAGTATATAGGAAGCGGCATTAGATAGGTACAATATTACTGTTATGAAAAATGAGTAATACCCATTTAATATCAAATTATAAGAAACACTATGTCCATGCATTACGATCATTTAGATAATCATCAACTTTATAATAGCCCTTATTCATAAGAGTATTTTTGATCTGAGATTTAAATTTAGTCAGTGGAAGCTCAATCAGATCTTGGGGAACTTTGTTAAACAATGCAATACTACAACCCAGAAATGAACCTCTTGATTTTTGGAGTCTGAAACATGGAACGACAAGCTTGTTCTTAAATCTAGTGTTAAAGTTATGGGTTTGACTTTTTTTTGCAAATTCATCATAGTTTTTTCTTACATATATTAAATTTTCATAAATGTATTGCGACGCCAGTGTTAAAATATTAATTTCTTTAAATTTTTCTCTAAGGGATTCTCTTGCCTTTAAATTGTATATGGCGCGAACAGCTCTCTTTTGCAGTATGAAAATACTTTCGATATTAGCGGCTGAGCCCCACAACAAAAGGCCATATGACATAACACTGTGAAAGTAACCAAAGTAAACTAATCTTGCCGTTTCCACATCAGTTAAGAGTCTTATCTTTTTAACAGCGAAAGCTGCAGAGCTCAATCTACTTGACAAGGCATCAATATGAGGATCCCATTGCAGACGAGAGTCTAAAGTAATACCCAGAAACTTTGTAAAATCCACTAACTCTACAGGCTGGTCATTTATTTTTATACTAGTATTAACCTGCCTCACATTAGGTAGAGTAAACTTAACGCATTTTGTTTTACTGGAGTTAAGTTTTAAATTATTTACCGTAAACCAGTGAAGGACTTCAGAGAGAGCACAATTTACTTCGTCATAACAATCATTTCCTCTTCTAGCTTTAAACAATAAAGAGGTGTCATCAGCAAATAGTACTGTCTCACACAAATCTCTTGTAAAGTGAGGAAGGTCATTGATATAAATAAGGAAAAGCAATGGGCCCAATATTGAACCCTGGGGCACGCCCATAGAAATGGGTGCTCCTGTAGACTCAGCTTCATTTATAACTACTTTTTGAATCCTAGCAGAAAGATAAGACTGTATCAGACTTAGTGAAATATTTGATACACCATAATGCTTCATTTTATTTAACAATGTTTCATGGCTAACGCAGTCAAACGCCCTTGATAAGTCGCAAAAAATGCCAATAGCATCGTGCTTACTCTCCCATATATCAAAGATGTGTTTGAGAAGTGCAGTTCCAGCATCAGTAGTACTTTTGCCTCTAGTGAAACCAAACTGTTTTAAATGAAATAGCTTATTTATAGAAAAGTGTGCTAGTAATTGGTTATAAATTATTTTCTCAAATACTTTACTTAGCGCTGGTAATACAGATATAGGCCTAAAATTGCTGGGATCTGATTTGTCACCAGCCTTAAAGAGAGGGATAACTTTAGCACATTTCATTAGATCTGGAAACACTCCCTCATCAATACATTTGTTAAATATAATGGCCAGTTGTGGCGCAATAACAGTGATAATCGGTTTTATTATATATGTTGATATTCCCCAATAATCCTCTGTCTTTTTAATTTTAATTGAGTTAAAAGTTTTTATAATACAGTCACTACTGATATGTCTAAAATGAAAATCATTACTGCACTTATCAACACTTGACTCAAGGAGGGTCATTGCTAACCTAGAACAAGAATTAAGATTTCTAGTTGTTTCAAATGGTGCACTAGAAAAGAAATTTTCAAAAGTGTTTGCAACGGCATCATCTGTCCTAATAATCTTATTGTCTATTTTTAAAGAATATGTGTGTTCATTAAATTTATTTCTTCCAGTTTCATTATTAATTATATTCCAAGTTGTCTTTATTTTATTATCGGAAAGACTAATTTTTTTTGATAAAAACTTAGCTTTTGCTATGGCACACACCTTTTTAAAAGTTTTTGAATAGTTTTTGACATATTCTATAAACTTAGGATCAGATGAGGTTGCCTTGAGAGCATATAATTCATACAACTTATTTCTACTTTTGTAAATACCCGGTGTGGCCCAATCACTAAATTTCTTTTTAAAGCTATGGCATTTAATAACTTTGCGTTTGAATATTATATTAAATTCATCTTTAATTAAATTGAATAAATCTTCATACAAAATATTATTATTACTATAAACCGGTAAGTACGATATTTTGTGATAAACGCTATCTTGAATATCTATAGTAGGATGAAACCCATTAGAAAAGGTAGAGAATATAACAAAAATGAAAGGAAAAATAAATTACGGGGGATCTGAGGTCGGGAAGGGGGAGGGGGTGAGTTTTTAAGGGTAAAAAATGGTTAATCTCGATTTCCGGTAAAACTGCAAGTCCTATGAAAAAAAAGTTAAATTGCAAAGTTGTAGGTAATAAAAAGATCTACAACTTTTGTATCGACACTTTTTTCACATCACCTCAAAATTTATGTGAAAAATGCGACTAACCGAGTATTTGGTTTTTGATTTTCATTTTTTGCAAAAAAAAATATTTTTTCACGAAATTTGGTGAAAACTTACCTTTGTATGTCCCAAACATACAGTAATTTTTTTGATTTAAAATATTCATTTTTTCACCTTTTTTGACGTAATATCCAAAATGCACCTTAAATTTCAATCGAAAATTCTCACGTCAAAATATCTGCTCTTTTTAAAAAATTGGGGTGTTTTGTGTTTGTTGAAATCTCTACTTTCTGATGGTATAAAAAAAATATACACTACTATGATAAATGTTCTCAGAAAATGCAAATTAATTTGCATGCCCAGGGCGGCTTGGTGGGTGCTAACGACCGAGCAGCCAGGACCAACAGCTTAACGTGCCTTCCGAAGCACGAAGAAGCTCGAGATAGTAAATATAGTTTTCACTGCAAAAATAATAATTAATAACAGATACAAGACTATCGTAACAGGGGCTAAGTACGAACGTACGGAAACTAACTGAACTAAGGCAAATGGTGAACGAACGAATGAATAACCTAATAGTATGGGAGCCCAAGCGGGGATTTTTGGATTTACTCGAGCGCGGCAGAATAACATATGGGGAGCAACCTTGCACCTACTTAAGTACTCCCTCCATATATATACCCAGAACAATGTCCTTTTGTTTTTTCTGCCCTAGATGTTCGGCCCTACATAGAGGGCTCAGGTATGGAGGGAGTACTTAAGTAGGTGCAAGGTTGCTCCCCATATGTTATTCTGCCGCGCTCGAGTAAATCCAAAAATCCTCGCTTGGGCTCCCCTACTATAACCTTATCGTTGCGTTCTTGTAAATTTGACATTAGTATTAGTAATTAGTAGTCGTTATTCGAATAATGACATTAGTATACTACTAGCTTAGTAGTTAAGAATTAGTCGAAAGGTAAAATCATTCGTAGTCGCGCATCGCTAATCCGTATAACTTAGATTGTAAGTGAGATTGCATCTTACAGAAAAGTCTGATGAAAATTAAGTTTTTTCATTTCTTCCACAGGAATCATGAACACTTCACTCATTTGTCAGGTCTGCATATCTACTTTGCAAAGCCAACTTGTAACTGTTACAAAATGACGGTTCTCATCAATACCAGTTATATTATTGGTAAGTTCGACGACCTCAGGCAAACAGACAAAAATTCTAAAAACTATATTTTTGGCTTCGGTGTCGATTGCAAGTCACACCCCAAGTATTCTTTTAAAACTAATATTCAATGTACAGTTTTGACTTTCCTACCATTTTATTATCTGTTTAGATATACGTATTCTATCCGTTACCCTAGTATCCCATAACATAAGCCTTATAGTGCTTACTTTGGGGCTAGGCTGTTGTAACGGATAGAATACATATACAGTACATATATAAGTATACTAGCAAACCAGTGAACCAAATGTTCACCAAAACCTGATTTAAAAAAGAAAAAAAAATGTATTTAATTAATTGAGAACTTCTGAGATTTTGTGTGGTTTCGTTTGAAATTCGTGATTTCTCGAAAACCGGAAGTGCTACGTTACTCAAATCCGGTTTGTAGTCTTATCAGACTATTCTTAACTTATAACTTAAATATTCTCTTTATCTATCTCTTACGGTTTGGCCGCTGAAACAGCACCACAGACAGACGGACGGACGGACTTGTCTAATAGATAAGAGATTTATATAGAAATACATATTAAACATCCATGACTGGAGTACAAATGCTCGTATTCATCACACAAACATCTGCCCCCACCGGGATTTGAACCCGGGACCTCTCGAGTCGGCGACACCATGAAACCCGGCGTACAAACCACTCGACCACGGAGGTCGTCAATTGGTTGGATTGGTTGATTGGTTGAATTGGTGTGAGTGTTGTAAATATTTATTGAAGTTATACTTCTTTAGGCGCGTTGTGAAAAAATGATGAGAGTGAAATTTTAAGATGCGCGCGCATCACTGTAACACAAAATTTTAACAGCATGAAGTTGGTCGCTTTAGCGACCAACTTCATGCTGTTACTTTTGTGTTTACCGCACATTAAGAAAATCTACCAACAAAATAGAAATAGAATCTCTATTTAGTGGGTGCTAACGACTGCATTGTGAAGGCCTATCAAAAGTATTTATTAATCTGGAATAACGGAACCAAAGCGCGATTCAGGAGACTACAGCGCCATCTCTTGACCATTGGTGTAGTAGAACCAAAAACCACATCTTTATTTTTTGTAATAAAGTAACAGTTATAGGTATTCATATTTATAATATTTATCCACATGTTTCTAGTTTGTATATTCGGAATACGTGTTTGAGTTTCATACAAGTGCAAATCACATACGTTCTAATAAATTATATTCAGTAGCGATTTTAATTGAATATTTTGATTATTTATTTATTTTTTCAAATTAAAACTGAACTTTATTGACTGTGTCCTTTTCCAGACTTTTTATTAATTTATTGTAATTAATTATTTGCATGCAATTAAAAACTAATTTTAAACGATGCCAAAGAAGGATAACTTCTCACGCGCCTACATAAGTACACGCACCCATTTTTTATTTATTTAATAGCAAGGCAAGTGTAACTGCATTAATCTGAGGTAGGGTTCTGATTCGCTGTTATTCTCTTGTTTGTTTTTATTTTCTTTATTTCTTCATGTGCCCTTTACTTTGTTGCATAACGTAGGTACATAAGGGCGTCGCCAGCCTATGGCCTAGCAGTGGGTAAGTTCATATACATAAAAAGAGGGTGTAAAATTATGAGTTGTGGGTACATGAAGCTTTACACTTGTAGTGCTCTTAGCTTAGTTGGTATTGGAATCACCTAGGTCAATAAAATATTTCATTCTCTCTCTCTCTCTCTCTCACACACTCTATGTTTCTCTCTCTCTCTCTCTCTCTATCTATCTCTCTCCCCCCCTCTCTCTCTCTATCTATCTCTCCCCCCTCTCTCTCTATCTCGCCCCCCTCTCCCCCCCTCTCTCTATCTATATCTCTATCTCCCCCTCTCTCTATCTCTCTCCCCCCCTTCTCTTTCCCTATCTATCTATCTCTCCCCCTCTCTCTCCCCCCCCCCCCCTCTCTCTCTCTCTCACTGTCTCTCTCAAGTGAATTCATTTGAATTTGCAGGAAGCCCAAATGTTTGCTTAGGTAAGCAAGTCTAATGAGTGGACTGGAGTTAGGGCTTTGGTTACTTAATATTTGGCTTCATTTTTTTTCTTGGCGACGCCCTTATATATATCATGACGGTATCTACAATGATTTCTCATGCAAATTCACCTATTACCGAAGAATAGGTTAACTCGTATTTCGGACACCAGCTTCTTACAACGCCTTATAATATTAAGAAAAGTTTACTAGGAAAAAAATTCACGCGGACCAGGCAACGGACAGCTGCCTTGCAGGGCCGTGGTAGCATAATGGTCAGTGCATTCGCCCGGATTGCGAAGGGTCCGGGTTCGAGTCCCGTCCGCTGCCTGGTCCGCGTGGATTTTTTTCTAGTAAACTTTTCTTTAGATTTAAACATCTAGCAGTTAAATGCTTAAAAATAAATAAAAATATAGCATTATAATATTATTTAAGTGGTACGTGCCTTAATTTGTTGTAAGAAGAAATAAAAAATTATTTTTCGTACCACTTGCTCATAAAAGTGACATTCTATGCCACAAAAAGCGAACATAACATTAGTCATTTTTAATCTGTTAAAAACAGGGAAAGAAAATTGTACTGAATTTCATTCACAAATGATGAGAATTTGATTTAAATTTGGAATACTTACTGAAATTTATACTGAACTACATCTGTGTTTACACTATTGAGTTTGTATATAAATCATTATACATCTTTTTGAAGAAAGAATACGAATTTATTGTGCAGTTATGATTATCTCTTATCTATTAGACAAGTCCGTCCGTCCGTCTGTCTGTGGTGCTGTTTCAACGGCCAAACCGTAAGAGATAGATAAAGAGAATATTTAAGTTATAAGTTAAGAATAGTCTGATAAGACTACAAACCGGATTTGAGTAACGTAGCACTTCCGGTTTTCGAGAAATCATGAATCTCAAACGAAACCACACAAAATCTCCGAAGTTCTCAATTAATGAAATACATTTTTTTTTTAAATCAGGTTTTGGTGAACATTTGGTTCAATGGTTTGCTAGTTAAATAATAATACGAAAACCGACGAGGCCGTATTTAATTGGACCAATGTTTCGAATGTCAACTTTTACTTTTAATGTCATTATTTTTAATAAATGCTTATCTCATATTATTATTGTGTTAATTTTCTCGGAAATGGTACGAAAAGTAGAGTATTTTCCTCGCTGATAAAGCTGTCTTAGTCTTGGGTGAACTTAAATCCCTCGCTACACTCAGGACTCACCCTCGCTACGCTTGGGAGTAAACCTCGAGTCCTTCGTTATGCTCGCGATTTAAATCGTCACACGCGACAGTAGACACTGCTTTATCCCCTTGGTTAATAATCTACTATTTATTGTTTTTAATATTTGGCATGTTTCAGCTACCTACGGAGGAGTTTTCTCGCTGTTCTTCGGCGGTTCCTTGCTAACAGTCGCAGAACTATTGTACATACTGGTCAACTATATTGTAGCCCGTGTAAAGAATACACTAAAATATGTGGAGACGAAGTTCAGAACTACCAATACTGAAGGCGAACTAAATTCAGAAACGTATTTTAATAATTAACGTAGAGTCTGTCACTTTTTTTTCTGGTGCTTCGCCGGCCGCTGCCGCGGCACGCTCGCTTTGCTCGCTCGGCTCGCGCGTTATGGTCACAACACTAACCTAACCTAACCTAGTGTGAAATATCACCACTTGATAAGAATAGTAAAAATTTTCAATATTTTTTTCTAAAAAACTACCAGTGCATAAGTGTGACATTTTTTTTAATAATGTGGTTAACAGAAACCTTTTTAACAACAAAAATGAGAAATTACAACCAACAAAACCGTGAAGTTTTTACTTTTGGGCCCTGGAAGTACAGTATATCCCTTTTTTCTGTAAGACAACACAAATTTCTGAAAAGCTTAATTGGTATCTTTTTTTCATTAATTAAGTTGCTATTTATAGCTTTGTGTGTCACCCAGTAATCAAAATTAAAGTGTATTTATTAACTGTTTTCTTTTTCATTAAACTACCTTTATTCATCATCATCATCATTAGCTCAATAACCCTTAAATGCTACAATGAATTTGTAAACTGTATATTGTTTTAAACTTTCATGGTCACTAACATTATAGTAATAAAAGTTATTTACGGGATTGTTACCATGTACCTTGTTTTTAGCGAGTTTCCGATATTTCGGCACTGTTGCAAGCGCCATGATCACGGAGTAACTGAGTTACTCACAATTATATAGTTATTGTTACATGGTAACAATCCCGTAAATAACTTATATTACTATAAGAATTTGTAAACAGCTAAGACTACAATGGGTATAGAAACACCCGGATTTAATCATGTGAATAAATAATATATATAAAAATATTATTTCATTTTTTATATTGTTTACTTGAATAAGGGATCATGTTCTTGGCTTTTTTGATATGTTTAATAATTTCATAAAAAAAATAGTTAAAATTGCGACTGAAACGGGGGTTCTCAAACTAACAGTAATTTTGAAGAGGTTTAGAAAAACCTAAAAAAAAGCAACATTTATTACGTAATTTTAAAAAAGATGTTAATCTCATTTAAATCGTTATTAATGATATTTATGTTAATGTAATTATTATTATTTTTTAATTTTTAAATGGTTACTGTGTACTTTTATAAGCATACTGTTTGCACATGCTAGTGGAGTTCAGTATTTTTTTTATCAATTGTTTCTCATTCAGAAAAACAACGCTACCAAACGGTAATATTATATTAACTACTAGCGGACCCGACAGACGTTGTCCTGTCTAGTATGGTAGCGCCGTCTGTCGGATCCAATGTAAAACATTCCAAAATCAACAACTACTAATAAATTAAAAATTAATTAAAAAAACATTGTCCAGCGGACAAAATTGTGAATCTAAACCATTCTCAGATCCCCTTGAACACACACAAAAAATTTCATCAAAATCGGTCCAGTCGTTTAAGAGAAGTTCAGTGACATACACACTCACAGAAGAATTATATAATATAAAGATTGTTTTCTGTAAAGTAAGCATCACTCCCTAAGACAGGCACTAGAATTAGAGTGGACACTTAGCTGTGACCTTACTTAATTTTAATACTCTCAGGTATTTTCTTGTAGGATATTTCTCATTAAATTGTCTTATATTCAACTAGTGGCCCGCCCTCGCTTTGCTTCGGTATTTTATCCCCTTGGGGGTAGAATTGATCAAAATCCTTTCTTAGCGGATGCCTACGTCATAACATCTACCTGCATGCCAAATTTCAGCCCGATCCGTCCAGTGGTTTGGGCTGTGCGTTGATAGATCACTATGTCAGTCAGTCACCTTTGAGTTTTATATATATAGATTTAACTTTGTGTCAAACAACGGGACCTTAGAGCAAACCCAATTGGAATAGAATGGGACAAGGAAAAGATGACGATCCGTTTTTAGTCAGCATTTATTTACAATTGTGTAAAGAATTAGATTAAGTAGTAAACATTAATTTTTTACAAAGTTAAAGTGTTTAATTTTTATACAAACAGTCATAATACTCATTGGTCCAACATTCATAAAAAAACATTTTACATCAATCTTATCTAGATTCATAGAAAAAAACAATATTTTCAGCTGTACAATATAATAATATGTTATACTGATATAAATGAAAATCTTTTGAATAAGTTGGATCGACTTCTCAATAACTGCATCCGCTTCATATATGGCTTACGTAAATACGACCATATTTCACATTTTCGTCATCAGCTCAAGTGGCTTCCTATTCGTGAGCGTAGGAACCTCAGAGTTGTTTGTGCCCTTTTTAATCTTCTGTTCGATCCACATACACCAGTTTACCTAAAAAGCAGATTTAGGTTTCTGAGTGATTCTCATGACCGTGTTCTCCGTTCAACGGACAATCTCCTTCTGCATACTCCCGTCCATTCTTCTGGCTTCGTCTCCCACTCTTTCACTGTCACGGCTGTACGACTCTGGAATGACTTACCCCCCAATATACGTAAAGCTCCTAACAAAATTGCATTTAAGGGATTGGTTCGTGAGCACTATCTCAATAGCATTAAACAGCGTTCTCATATTTGACTGACAAAACCATGTATTTATGTATGTATTGTATAATATGTGTGTGTGTATGTATGTGTGTATATGTATATATATATATATATATATATATATATATATATATATATATATGTGTGTGTGTATAATATGTATGTATTCTGTTAAGAGTATTTGTATCATTGGTTTATCTTAAATTTGTCTTTATTGCGCCCCGTCATATTAGATTTTTTCTCACGCTCTTACTGGTCGACTGGTAGAGAATGCCTTATGGCATTATGTCCGCCATTTGCTTTGTAATTTTGCAATAAAGTTTAAATAAATAAATAAATATCAGTTTAGAATAACAATAATTAATTTAATTTGTACAAACATAAATACAAAATTGCAACTAAAAATCCATAGTTAGATATTGCACTATGGATTCTATGAAAACGTAAATTCTTGAATTTGATACAGACTATTTAATGGTGCAATTGTATATTTCAATATTTTCAATGATATTCAATAAGTAAATGATACCAATTTTCTATACAATATTTACAACGCTTCTACCTCCTTAATAAGTGAAGAGGAACAGAATGTCTTGCGTCGCCATTTGCGATTCGCATACCGCACCGAAAACTCTCATTACCTAAACACGTTTCATCATCTTAAGAGCACATTGAGCCACAAGTGTCGACCACTAAGCACGGCCACTGGTGGCTCAGTCAAGCCACTAGACGCCGCCACCGATCGTCGTTTGCGCCGATACTAATAACGTCGAGTTTTTCACAAATGACTAGATTTGCATCTTTCAAATGGTGGCAAAAGTAGACAGAATCCCTGTAGGCCACCTAACGACAAGATTTTTGATTGCCAAGTTTCACTGAATAGTTTTTTTCACTTAAACGTGGCGTCATGTGTGACTAAAAAACTGTGATATAACGTCTTAATTGTATTTCACTAAATGGCGGCAAACGTACAATCCCGTAGTCCATCAAATGACAAGACTTTTGATTTCCAAGTTTCACTGAATAGTTTTTTTTCACTTAAACGTTGAGTGTGACACGCGCGCGCGGCGAGTATCAGCGCTTGAAGTCTGTGTGCCCGTGCCGCTGCAGCATCTCAGGGGAGACCTTATGCGAGGAGCGAGTCACGTGGCTCAGTTGCGCGGATGCGTATAGCAAGGAGCATCGCTTTTATAACACAAAACGAAAATTTACCAAAACATCTTAAGTGTATTATAAAAAATAACGGCATTATGTTGCCACTATATGTGGTTCACCGATTTGTTTTTCACAAAATGGCGGAAAATGTAGACACAATCCGTGTACTAGTCCACAAAATGGCAAGTTTTTGATCAACTAGTTTCACTGTATGTATAGTCATATTTACTTGAACGTGTCATCAAGTGTGCAGGCGTAACACTGTCTCTGCGCGTCATCGCCCTCGCGCGGCAGGAATCAGCGCTGAAGTCTATGTGCCCGTACCGCTGCAGCATTTCAGCGGAATGCGCGTCCGCAGGCGCGGTGCGGCGCGAGGGGCGAGGCACATGGCTCAGCTGCGTGGTTTCATATAGCAAGGGGCATCCGTAAATTTATATCACAAAATGCATTTACCAAAACACTTTGATATATCATCTTAACTGTATTACACTTAGTGTCGACAAACGTATACAAAATCCCTGTAGTCCACCAAATGACAAGATTTTCGACTACCAAGTTTCATTGAAAAGTTTTGTTCACTTAAACGTGGCGTCGAGTGTGCAGGCGTAGCACTGCCTTTGCGCATCGTCGCCCGCGTGCGGCGAGTATCAGCGCTTGAAGTCTATGTGCCCGTGCCGCTGCAGCATTTCAGCGGAAAGCGCGTGCGCGGGCGCAGTGCGGCGCGAGGAGCGAGTCACATGGCTCAGCTGCGTGGTTACATACAGCAAGAGGCATCCGTAAATTTATATCCTAAAATGCATTTACCAAAACACTTTGATATATCATCTTAACTGTATTACACTTAGTGTCGGCAAACGTAGACAAAATCCCTGTAGTCCACCAAATGACAAGATTTTCGATTGCCAAGTTTCACTGAATAGTTTCGTTCACTTAAACGTGGCGTCGAGTGTGCAGGCGTAGCACTGCCTTTGCGCATCGTCGCCCGCGTGCGGCGAGTATCAGCGCTTGAAGTCTATGTGCCCGTGCCGCTGCAGCATTTCAGCGGAAAGCGCGTGCGCGGGCGCAGTGCGGCGCGAGGAGCGAGTCACATGGCTCAGCTGCGTGGTTTGCGCGCGCGTCTCGATGCCACGCGGTATGTGCGAACCGTGCGCGTGCCCATTGTATCGGAGTGTGTTCATCTGTGGAAGAATATTTATTTATTACATTTCACATTACATTTAGGATGGTACATTAATTTATGTAAGGTAGATATGTGACGCCCTGCAAGGGCATAGCAAATATCAAGCCAGAGGGCATGTTAAATAATTATATTATAATACTTTTATCACATTTCATTTTTACACAATAATTAAATTTTATATAATAGATTTAACAATTTCAATAAACAACAATAAGAATAATAATTTAATTTTTACACAACAAGCAATTAAATTTTATAAAATATATTTAACAATGTCAATAAGCAATAATAAAAATGAAATTGTCAACTATAAAAATTAATTACATTTGTCGTCAAAAAAATATTTTAAATTATAAAATCATATTGATTGTTGAATTTGGCAGATATTTCTACGTTCTTTATATTATTATAAATAAATAAAATAAAAATAAAAATTATTTATTTCGGACAACAGCAGCCCATATCAATGATACAAATGCAAACAATAAATTAACATTAAATTAATTTACAAAAAAAACATCATCAATAATAAATAAATAAACAAAACAAGTCAATCTTTTCACATTAATAATATTTAAATAAATAAAAGAAATAAAACATGTCAATATTTACTATTAGTCAGTACATGAACCATGCAACAATGACGCATGTACTGACAGTCGATTCTGTTCGCAAACAAGCTCAGAATGCCGTTGGAGCTGGCCCGAACCCTACGTACCAGTGATGCACATCGTTTCCGTATGATGGTGAAGAAACAGTCCACCTGTGCATCAGCAAACATCCCTGATGCGCTGCAGTAACGCGGCAGCCCCATCAGCACTCTGAACGCGTTATTGTACTGAACACGCAGAGCGCTGTACTGTTTCTGTGTATGGCGTAACCACAGGCTGCTCGTGTAAAAGTTAGTGCAATATGATCGGAACAGAGTACGTTTAACTTCCGCGGAGCTACGAGCAAACCTGCGAGCCACCATATTGGCCCTTACAGACAACGCCCTACGTTCTCTTTCAATATCTGCATCGTCATCCAGGTCTGAGGTAACGATATGACCTAGGTATTTAAATTTATCCACAAATTGAAGAGGTGTTCCATATAATTTTATAGAAGGAATGGTAAAAGAACTTTTCCCTCCGACCTTGAAGACCATGCATTCACTCTTTTTGACATTATAAATCAGGCCGTGTTCTCGAGCATAATTCTCGCAAATTTTCAACATTTTAGTGATACCACAGACTGATGCACTCAACAAGACCATATCATCAGCATAATTAATATTATTGACCGGTGTACCGTCAATATGACAACCGACACGGCTGCCACTAAGCTCACCAATCAGTGCATCAATATACAAATTAAAAAGCCTAGGTGAGGTCAGCCCTCCCTGCCTCACTCCGCACTCCATTCTATACGGCTGTGAGTAGGTATTGGCCCATCTTACAACATTGACCTGGTTTTCATACCAAAATTTGAGAATATTATTAAATTCTGATGGAATATTTATGTCATTTAACTTCTGCCATAGTATGTCATAACAAACCAGGTCAAATGCTTTGGAAAGATCGAGGAAACAGGCATATACGGGTGTGTGGCGGTCGGTGTAGTACTTGACAGTCTGCTTCAAGCTCAGGATAGCCGTATCAGTGGAGAGGCCTGGCCTAAAACCGAATTGATTATCATGTAAGGTTAGATAATCGTCTAGCTGAGCATTAAGCAGACTATCAAGCACTTTCGCCACAATAGTGGCGAGTGAGATAGGCCGATAATTAGACTTGTCACATACATCACCAGTTTTATTTTTCACAATCGGTACTACCACGGTTTTCATAAGATCCGCAGGAAGGTACGAGTGTCCGATACAAAGCGAATAGAACATCGCTAACACCCTGGGCAAATGTGGACCCGCATATCTCAGGTGCTCAATGCTGAGCCCGTCGTGACCGGGAGATTTACCGTGCGACATAGATTGAATAGCATTCTTAACATCTTTAGCTAAAAATCTAGTTCCCATCTCTTGATTACACGGACCCAACATATCACACATATTATTCGCTGAGTGAGATGAGCACCGCGGTGATTTAACAGTGAACTGCTCTCTGAACAAGTCAGCTATACTTTTTATGTCATGAACGCCGTCGACACTCACAGGGAGGCTATGTTTACCATTTAGAGACTTTGTGGCTTTCCAAAATTTACGAAAGTCATGTTTTGAATGTTTGGATGATAACATGTCCATTTTTAACTGTTCACTATGATTTTGACACCACTTTAAGCGGGACTTGAAAATTTTTCTACTTTCAATCATTTCATTATACACTGGACCTGTCCTAGGTTTTTGGTTTAACAACCATTGTTTAAATTTACACCTAGCCTCTCTGTGAGCATCCCGCACATGCCTGTTCCACCCCAAGACAGGCTTTCGTTTATTTTTTATATTAACAAATTCACTATAGCCAGCGACAGCGGCCTGTCTCAATGCATTTACAATTTGATCATACATTTGGTCAATAATAAATCTATGGTCAATATTATTACATACACGATCACAACAAAACGATAATTCATTAGGAAAGTCTATTAATTTTAATTTATCATTACATAATTTACAATATATGTCAATTTGTTTAGGCTTACGCTCACCCCATAATACCTTATTAATTCCATTAAATTGGTCAAATAAAATTTTAGGTTTTACCATGTCAAGATTACATTCTAATATTAAGGGAAAATGGTCCGACCATAGAACGTCATAATCAATCGATACGGTTAGAACAGAGTTAGCTGCTGACTTAGTAACAATGCAATGGTCCAACCACCTACTGCACCCATGTGCTTCGCTAATGTAAGTATATGCACCGGAGTTCAAACCCAAAACCTCCGTATCAGCACACACCCAATCTTGTTCACTACAGAAACATGATAGTTCGTCAAAAAATGGTTCATAGGGATGAGCATTAAGCAATATTAGGTACATGATTGATGATGATGAGAAGAGAATAGATGTATAAAGATGCACTATGTAAAGAGTTTGTAGGCTTATACGTGATTTTGATGGTGCAGATGGTTAGCGCGTTTGGCCTGCGATCGTGTTAAGTTATTGTTTGGGTGACCAAAAACTTTTTATCTCGATCTCCTCCGTAGTTTGTAAGGCAAGTTAAGCTGTCCGTCCTGGCTGCATCTGCAGCCGTTAGAACCTACCAATCTGCACTGGGTAAGTCTCGGCCCAATCTCCCTATTTCATACATAGGGAAGGCCTTTGACCCAGCAGTGGCGACGTCAATAGGCTGGTGATGATGATGATGATGATGATGATGATGATGCAGAGCTTGTAAGATTTAGAAATGAAAACTGTTATAATCACTGGGGGAAAGGCGGAACTTAGATACATTTACACGTTATGTGTGTTGCTAAGTAATTAATTTATGTTTTGACTCGAACTGGTGTTTTACAAAGAGGTAGGGCACAGAAAATTAACATCTGAAATCAAAGGAGCTGTTTAAAGGTTTCTGTAATCTGAAAGGATTTTCAAACCGGATGGAATAATAATATTCTAAAGTTACCTGCAGAGCTCCACAGGTTAGCGAATGGGGCCCAACGTAGGTTAAAATGATTATACATTTAGGAAAGTACTGTCGTGATGGCATTTTCAAAACCATTTTAGTGACGACGATTTTAACTCGAATACAAATTGTTACGCGACAATACATACAAAAATGTATGTTGTATGAAATTACTCGTTGTACGTGCGCAACTTTAATAAGTGAGCATAAGATAGGATTTTGTAACAAATAGGTATATTTAAAGTTTTAACGGTATACATGCACTGATTATTTATTTATGACGTTTCGCATCCTTTTCAAGCTGCGTCGTTAGAATTATTAAAAAAAAACTGAAACTTTTTTCATTACGTGAAACCTAAGAAACAAATCGACCTATGCATAGAATAAAGTTATATATGAAAATGTTACCAAATTGCTTTTATTGTACTTTTAGGCGAAACGGACGCATATGTTTTACTGGTAAAAACATTTTTTCTTAACTTTGAAGACAGCAATTGAATAAAGGCATATGTGATTTTTGTTTCCGAAGAATATAGAGCCAAGAGCACAAGAACCTTTTGGATAGGCAAGAACGCAGCCTGTACAGCTTCAATTTTGTTATAAGCTGAGAATTTTTACTAAATGATTGATTCTATTTTTCTCGTATGATCGATTTTGC